AATTTTCTTTGATTATTTTTAATTACTGCAGGTTGGAAAAAGTTTTCCTTAAGCTCTTTATGTATAATTAATGTACTATTTAAAACCATGGAGGTTAATTTATGTCCTGCTATAAATTTTGGCCAAGCATCATGTTCGGTGAAGTATAATAATGAAGCAAGCAGTGACGCAACTCTGGAGAATGAAGCYGTTGTAGAGCTAGATCAGTCAGTTACGGTTGTGTATCAAAACGRAGGGGAAGTCAGCATGGAAGTTATTTATCCAGAGAACACTGAAAGAAATGCAGAAAACAGAATATATCCTGTAAAGAATACATCTCTTGGAGGACCTTCAGAGCTGCAGACATTTTTRGGTATGTTTGATAAAAATGTACAAAGGTTTTTAGGATTTGGTATAGTTTAAGACTTGAATATAGAGTTTACAGATTGTATTTGGCCAAGCAACCAGTGCTTATGAGACTGTATATTCACTGCTTGAGCGGTGATTATTAGGTTTCCAAAGTTTGCCAGAACAGCAGTAATACTAACTATAAAACGTTTGTCTTTTCTCTGWTATTCAAGTCTAAAATTATACTAAAACAGCTATTTACCTCAGGCTCAGTGATTAYGAAGACTCACAGCTAGGTAAATATTAATGTAAACCGTAAGTTCAATGAAGATTTAAATTCTGCTTTCAAAAAAATAGCAAAAGGATTTCAGTCTCCTTATTGTTCCCTTGAGTGAACTTATCATGATAAATGTAACATCTGCAGGAAAACCTACAGATACTCTATCAGTTACATATATCATGTCAAGTTCATGGGATATCAGGGATTGGCTGAAAGGCTCTCGGCCAGAGTGAGAAGAGATTATTCAGSGATACATTTTGTAGTCTCTTTTCTTTAACCCACTAGCTATTGATAACCTAAGAGTTGGCTATAAGTAAGATAAAATAAAACAAAATAAATTGCCTAATAATGATGATAAGCAAACATGTGTGATGCATCTAACCATATTTCAGGGCAAACAGAACCTTTACCTACTTCAYTCTCCAACCATCCACATGAATATGATTATGCTGACGATAAGGAAGAATTTCCATCAACRTGCTCTCTGTGTAGTATAAGATGCCAATCAAGCAAGGACTTGGATGACCATTTAAAAACACATTGTACCAAGGACACTAATGAATGCCCAGTATGTAACAAGAAGCTTTCATTGAGGGGCTCCTTATTTGGACATTTAAGAATCCATTCCAAATACAAGGCTTATGTATGTGACAAATGCAACAAGGCATTTAATGCTCAGTATCAATTGGCGTATCACCACTGTGGAGACGAGAAGCTTAAACCATACAAATGTGGTTATTGTGAAAACAGGTTTGCTGTTCTGATCTCACGCATCATTCATGAAAGAGTCCACGTTAATAAGGACTCAAAGCTTTGTATTCACTGCCATAAGACGTTCACGAATGAAAGAGAATTTCAAACTCACAAATGCGTGGCCTTGCGTGTTTTGAAGTGCGCTTCGTGTAACGAAGAGTATCCCAATGAAGAGCAACTTTTGAGGCATCAACGTTCTCATGAGAATTTCAAACCATTCAAATGCTCACACTGCAGCAAATCATTTAGACGGCAGAGTAACTTAGATACTCATGTTCGAATCCATACAGGCATAAAGCCTTATAAATGTGATCATTGCTCGAAGGCGTTTTCACGAAATGACCATCTTAAGAATCATGTTCGCATACATACGAGCACAAAGCCGTTCCAGTGTAAACAATGTAACAAAACATTCTCAAATGGCACTCGTCTAAGCCTCCATGAACGCACCCATACAGCTGCAAGGGAGTATAACTGTAATATTTGCGACGTAGTATTTCAATCTTATAATGAATTTAAGAGCCACAAGCTCACACATGTGACTAGTAAACCTTACAACTGTACTTACTGTGGAAAGAGATTCGCTCGTGCCGAYCATCTTAGAAATCATGAACGTATCCATACAGGTGTCAAACCATTTGGATGTTCGTTCTGTGATAAAGCATTTGCGCGGCAAGATCATCTAAAAAATCACGAGCGAATTCACACAGGGGTGAAGCCATACACGTGTGAGCACTGCGGTAAAGCTTTTACCCGAGTCAGTAACTTACAGACACATTTAAGAATCCATACAGGGATTAAACCTTACAAGTGTGAGTTCTGTAAGAAGGATTTCTCGCGCTTAGATTACCTGAAGAGCCACGAACGKGCTGCACACATGGATAATACGGCCCTACACAGTGACATATTGAACAATGATTCTAGTTAAAGTTTTCTTCTGAACTTAAAATTATCCAGCGTGTCATGGGAGTCAAGAGACTGTTCATTTTTTACGGGCAGGGATTTTGTGTTGTAAGTAAAAATGTATTTTCTCCGATGTCCGTAAGAATAAACAGTCCCTAAACCCATGACCTGTATTTATATTGTTAAGTTACCTTTTATTTATTTATTTATTCTCCTACTAAATTTACAGCTATAAAATATAAAAGCACGAAAAGACATGGCAGCCATGTTGGTTGACATAACAAGAAACCAAGACCAAATCTTTCGTTCAAGTCAACCAACATGGCGGCTATGACGTCAAGTATGCCACAAAATTAATAATAATAATAACAATAATAATAATAATAATAACTTCTTGAGTATCACAAAAACTAAATGGCTTTTATTTGTGACGTCACTCGTACGGAAAATGGACTTCAGGGTTCAAAAGAAAAAGCAATTCTATGAATACTTTTCTAATTTTTTTTTCACGTTGGTATTTTTTGTTTATATTTCAAATTGCTTCAGATAGTGGTTAAATCATTGAGAAGGTTTCTGGTTTCATTTTAACGGTTATTTTTCCATTTTACTACGACAGTAAAGCCACTACCAAGATTCTTCGCGAATTTTCTTTCTTATTTAAATGTGTAACTATTCCCTCATGAGAATAGTAAGAAAATTCTCTACTTTCACATCCCCATAATGCCTTGCGTCCTTTGGGAGGTAACCAATCAAAAAACTCCCAAATTGAAAGGTTTCTTAATTGAATTTATACTATACCTGCTTTTACCTGTACAATACTGATTAACAGTTTATTCCAAGTTATTTTTGCGTGTACAGATCATCAAGAGTTTTGGTCTCACAGAAAATGTATTGACTTACGAAAAAATGTTTAAAATTTACCTTAAAATTATAWGAACTTTAAACGGGTGATTTTGTCATTGAAACCCAGKTCACCACGGTCGATGGGTCCAACTTTTTCTTCCCTCGTATTTTAACGGCCATTTTATGAGGGAGTTTAAAATTTTTCTCCTAGCTGCTGGCCTCTGTAAGTGGACTTCTAGGGATATTGTGTGTTTCATAGAATTGGAAATTTATCCCTTCGTTGCYCTGCGAAGTTAGAAAGCCGGAGAACGCGATTTAATGTCGAAAATTCTGCTCCGATCATGAGTAGGTCGACTCGATCTAGGGACAGAAGTCTCCTTCCTTGTCTTCTTCTATAGAGGGGAAACGAAGATTTTTAAACCATCGCTAAAATGRCTAGAAATCACTACTAAAGAACAAGGACGACCTAAGCAACACTTCATGTAAGTAAATATTACCTTTTATTATAATTTTTTTCCTCAAATTACATTCAGTTCTGAAAGCTTGTATGGGCTTCCTGCGATCCAACTAGTGCTGATGAAATGTGATAGCGCGAAACATTTACGCAAGAGAAAATGAAATATTACGGGAAATTGAAGCAGTAATTTGTTCAACTTTCTGGAGTATTTTTACATTTATTTTCCAAAGCTTTCGACCTACATCGTCATCTTGAGGGCAGATTTGAACATTCGAACATAAGAAAAGCACTTAGCGAACGTTAGCAAACAGCGCGCGTGTACTATGCGCGTGCAGAAAATCAAACGATCAAATAAACGATATCATTGGATGATATTTTTAGAATAGATTSTAAAAATAGCATCAAAGTGTGCACATGATGGGGCACGGGGATTCCTTCTGTTAGTTCATATTCTCTTGATTTMYTGCTAYACTAAAGATTTTRSCCCCGACGCCGCTATCCCGGGAGGAATTACGGACTGATCAGAAAGCTCGGCCGAAGTTTAGGGGTGAGGTTGGTCGACCCCTTAACCGTAGGTGATTAACCCCTTGCTTTGACCTGCAAACCCGATATCTCGATTGCCTTGCTGATAACATAGCACTTCCTCCCACGTGGGACTGACTTATGACCTATATTTAACTAGCAATTACAATTCCGGAAAAAAGAAAAACGCCTAAGGTCTTAGAAAAGATAAAACTGACTTAAAGAAATAARCGTTCTGAAATTTATGTCGCCAACTGCGGCTTTCGTCGGAAACCACAGACTGCCCGCTTATTAAATAAATGAAACAAATTAAACTAGCGTCACTATTCTGGTATGCATGCTAATCATATATACACTCCTAAATATCCTAAATAATCCCATTTCCCATTCGGTAAATACCGCTGTGTTTTATGACTACATACACTTAACATATACACTAAGAAATGCTTATCTGCACAGGCTTAGCCTCGCTTAAGAGTAAATCATTTGCAAATGTCAACTTTAATGTAAAGAATTTGCATCTTTAACAATACCAATGTTTGTAATCCCACAGACTTCAAATGGTATCTGTGAATAGATGAGCTATACCCACTAAGCCTGTGCAAATGAGTCTGTGTTCTTCAAAAACAGCGGTTTGCATCGAATACGAAACAGCTGGTGCATTGTGAAACATAAACAAGTTAGGGAAAACAAGTAAAAAGATCTTATTTCAAAGCCGATAGGCGATAGTTCATTACAAGACGCTGGAGAACGATTTTGGGCATAACGATTTTGAGCACGATTGAGGTGCTTAAAATAGTTTTGTCGGCTTTAACAACAAGTAACATCCGTGATCTTGACGAGAATAACAATTAGAAACTTAACTCTTTCCAGCTATTCTTGTATCTTGGGAGTGACGTATCTCATATCGCCTTTTTTGGCTAAGACAACTGAAAATATTCTAATTTCAAAGTCGCCTCAAAGTGCTATAAAAAATGTCGTAATCCTCTAGATTAAAAATCATTAAAAATATCAACTGAAAGATTTCCAATAGATCTCTTCATCTTGGGCGTAATGCTTTCCCATTTCAGACCACCTGTCATTCCGTAGAGCATCATTTATTTGTTTAACGGTTGCACATGAGAAGACACATGAATATGGATACGACTCATACATAGAATCTTATTCTCAAGACAATGACACGTGGACTGAAATGGGAAAACATTACGCTCAAGACAAAGAGGATAGTATTTTAGTTTCCATTACAGAACCTTCTCTAGTGTCACTTTTCACTGTAATGCGACAACATTGCCCCCAAATTGAAAGAGCTAGCATAGTTCCAGTTTCTTATACCGCGTCATTTGAACTTTGCCTGTGCCCTCCCATAAAAACTTCTTTTGCTGTTTYGAAGACAGATGCAATTCAATATGATACCCATGATGCAACGAGGCCGTCACTTCCCTGGCAGGTATCCCACAATACACTGCGGTGTGTTTAAGATTCTCCGACTTCATGCAAAGCGATAAAGGCATAAGTGTACAGCGGTCTTCAATTTTAGCGCCATAGAGAACGATACAGTTGCCACAAACAGTACACTCATTACCAATGATCAGTCTGTCCATCTTCATGACTCGATCTTCAAATAGATGTGATTGGATAGTGGTTCGAGCGGCTATACACGAATCATCTCCTATCTCTATCAGGTCTGCTTCTGTC